TCCCCAGGGATCCTTGCAAGAGCTCCACATTGGAGGCTATGTCTCACCATCAAAACCACAGCCATTGCCCCATCTTCAGGTTCTTCTCAGTCCTGCTGACTATAGGTGAGGGTTTCACCACCCCTATAAAAGGTGCATCATCCTGGAGACTTAGGGTCAAGTCCCTACCAGAGGTGGTAGGAGCAATAGGAGCAGAGGGCAGGAGGAGGGACCTTTGCTCTTGCTTCTGCTCCCGGTTGGTGCAGATCTGGGTGTCTATGGTAGAAGCAGAAGGGGCTGGTGGTTCTGTTTGTATGAGAGAAAGAATGGGCTGGTCTTTGTCATCATCCTCTTCTTTTTCCTTTGTTTTTGGGGTAATGGAGACAAAACCAGGCTCTGTGCCTGCTAGGCAAGTGTGCTAACTCCTACCCATATCCGCGGCCCCAGAATGGGTTGTTTTTCTTCAGTTCCAGGAGCCAGTCTCTAGAATCAAATTCCTCATTAAAATGCTCAGATGCAGAAAAAGAAATTAATACACACACCATTACAAAAACACCTGAGATTCTGAGACAGCCTGTGTGTAGACCTTGGAGCCTCAGGCAGGAAAAGGGATCTACTCACGGGCCAGGAAAACCATTTACAAACCAAGACTCAGGCCATTTTATCAAGCTGTGGAGGCCCTTGTGCTCCTCCCAAGGAGATAAACAAAAAATGTGAGCTGGCAGACCACTGCTCAGGGCACGCAGGGAAAGCCGACTTCCCCAGCCCGCTGCACTGAGACCTGGGGCCTCCGCTGGTCTCCCTGCCCCACCCCCTGTAGGGCTGCTTGGCATTTGACAGTGTTTAATGAGGAGGTTCCTCCAGCAGCCATGGGAGGCCTGTGGGAGGCAGGCAGGCAGCCAGGAGAATCCCAGAGAATGCTGGAGTGCTGCAACTGTCAGGCCTCAGAATCAGTGATGTAATGCCTCTCTGGGGTCCCAGCAAAACAAGCCTGATGTTGTCGCTGTCCTCCTGGCAACCAGGCAGTGCCCTCCCAACAACACGGCTGTTCTACCCAATCACTAACTCCACTCCCCCCACTGCCCCCCGCCACTGTAGCTGGAGGAGATGGGAAAACCCTTTATTGTCACATAAAAGCCAACCCAAGATATGAGAAGTGTCTAAAATTCATCTAGCTGAAGAGGGATTTCCATAGCAACTTCAGAAGTGTGTATATTCGACTGGAGATAAGTCCAGGCTGGAGAGTGAGCAAGCCCTGCTCTGGGCATCAGCAGCCATAGGTTTTCCTAGGACCTGCCATGCTGCTGTGTAACCTTGGGCAAGTCACTTATCCTCTTTGATGTCAAAGGTAACAGATTCATCATCAGATCAGGGTGACAGAGATCAAGGTCATCTTTTCTACACCCCCTTCCCATCCCTGTTCCCACGCATCCATCCCCATTACAGCCCTGCTTGCAGTTTCTGTCCAGTCTCTGGTTGAATGATTCCTGTTTCAAGGTCTCTGCCAGTCTTACTTATTATTTGACATTGGGAAGAACAAGGATCCTTTAGCTTAATTCTAAAAGAAATTGGCTGGTCTTCGTAAAGGAAGTGCTTTGCCTGATTAGGAAACTTGTACATATTCTCAGTTCCCTAGGTCACACTCCTGGGAAAAAGTCTGAGACACTGAGATTTGGGGACAGAAGTTTTATTAGGGCTGCTTTCAGGTCAACACCCATGGGGCATGGGGAAAACACGGCTGAGACAGTGGCAGCAGGGACCTCAGCGACTTCAGAGCCCTGGAGCCTGATGGACCTGTAGAGTTTGTCCCACTGGGGATGAAGGGGCTAGGCCTTTAAACGCCACCAATGACAGTCAATGCATTCTTGCTGCCTTGCCTTTACCAGTCACAGCCAACGCAGCCCTAGGTGAGGGAGTGAGAGCCAGGGTCCTGCAGGGGGAATGGGGCGGGGGGGGGGGCAGGGGGCGTAGGGGTAAGGTGTACCACGGCAGCCACTACACATGCATGGGTTTGAGTTGAACATTAAGTCATTCCTAGAGACAGCACGACAAAACGGTCAAGGGCACAGTTATCGGAGGCAGAGATTGGGATTTAAGGATCAGTGTCAGTAGCTTTGAGACTCAGATTAGGAAAGTCGCTAGGAGAGTCTAGGCCACAGTTCCTTTGTAAGTGCGCAGTCCAGCCAGGGTTGGCCAGGCAAACATGAAGGTCAAGGTCAGGCTCATAGTCTTGACTGCAAACTTTCTATGACCTCTGTGACCTCAAGTCCAGTTACTTTATATTAGTAACCCTAAAGCGGAAATAGTCAAGGCACTTCTGCCACATGTTTGCTGTGAGGATGAGCTGGGATAGAACAAAACATTTAACAGAACTGTACAGGGCAAACTCCCAAAACATCGGCACAATGACAACGATGATGCCCATTGTGCTTCTGCGCCACATTCATAGTGCTATTCTCAGAAGAGAGGACATCTTCAGGAGAACTTCTGACTTGTTCTTTGTTCTTCCGTGCCTTTGCCCTGTCTTTAGCTTCTGACTCGTGATTGCCCAGGGAGCAGCCCAGTGTCCTGTAAGGGCCCAGGCTAACCCAGCCTGGACTTGCAAGCTAAGGAGAGCCATTTAATATCAAATAAAATGCCACAAAGTATTTTTCAAACTAGGCACTTTGAAACATGCTTATTTTCCAGCAAAAAAAAAAAAAAAAAAGTTACTCATACTTGTGACAGTTTCAATAAATGAGAACACCCTTCTTGGTACTTTCTGGCATGTTCGGACTGTTTGCTCAGCTGAAATGCATTCCAAATGGGGTTGATAAAGACAGGGACGACTTGAAATGCCTTAAATGGCTATGTGAATTCAATTATCATTGTCACAAAACCTGGCTTCCATCAGTTAGACAGGAAAACAGGAAGAGGATAGGCTAACATGTAGTAGGAGGCCACTTGTTCTGACTGTAAGAAGGCAGCCCCAAATTCCCAAGTCATCCAGGAATCTATGACATCATTAGTATTACTCTCACTGCCTTTGTATTGCAATCCATGGTTCATACACATTATCTTGTTTCACCCTAATAACAAACCCTACTAAGTAGGTGCTATTCTTCCCAACTTACAGATGAGAAAATTGAAGTCCAGAGAGGTAAAGTGACTGGCATGATGTAGCTAAGAGTACCACAAGGAAGCTGGGCGTGGCCATGCACACCTATAATCCCAGCACTTGAAAGGATGAGGTAGGAGAATTGAGAGTTCAAGACCAGCCTGGGCTACACAGCAAGAGCTATGTCCCAAAAATCCAAAAGATTTTTTAAAAATAGCATGATGAGAAGTTGGGAGTTCAAAGCCAGTGCAAGCTTTCTCCATCACAGGATGCTGTCTTGTTATCAGAGAAGGCTCATGAAGCATGGTGCAGTGTGGACCCCTTCAGTGTCAGCTGCTGAGCAAGGGCAGGGCTCTGGACAAGTGGGTAGGTGTGGCCCTGGTCTCTAGGTGAAAGTGCACTGACTGCACTGGTTCTCAGGACTGACCTTGCCACCCCTAAAGGCCCTTGCCCTCTACATTTGACTGTATCTGTTGGCCAGAAGTCTGAAAGAAATGTCTAGAAACAGAGCATCTCACAGTAGGTGAAAAATACAGTTCAAAGATCTGTTTAAGTTAACTCTTCTCCACACTGCTTTGTCTCATTTTATCTCTGCCAGAACACTAGTGCATGGAAAATTTGGCAATAAAATTGTAAGTGATGAATTAGGAAAGACTACCAGGATCTGTGTAAATGACACAGGATGTTTTCTATGCTTTCCAAAATGACAAACTTCTCTCCTTCTCCAGGGAATCTATCTTCTTCCTATTTCAAGTGATCTTCACTTTATAACGAGGACACCGAGGCCCAGACAGGCTATGTAACTTGCTCTAGGTCTCACAGCTACTTAGGAACAGAATCCAGGTTTCTAACTTAGGTTTGGACTCCACATGTGAAATCAGATTAAAATGAATACCCAAAGCCAGGTTTGGTGGTTCATGCCTATAATCCCAGCCAGCACTCAGGAGGCTGAGGCAGGAGGGTCTCAAGTTTGAGGCCAGACTGGGCCACAAAGCATATTGTCTCAAATAAGAAAACAAAACAACAACAACAAAATGAATATACAGGGCCAGTTAAAAAACAGGAGAGTCACAATGGCCAGATTAAGGGTAGTGCAAGGAGGGAGCAATGGAACTAACCTTAAGCCTGATGATGGCAGTTCTAAGGAGCTGGTACTATGTTCCAGAGCCCTGGATCTCTACTGGGCTACATCAGCCGCTTCTCCGAATCACCACCCCCTTCTCTCCCATCAGTCACTTCTCTGAATCACTGCCCAGCCATCAACATCCTAAAACATTTCCCAGAGTATATTCCATCAGCACAGCACGTCTCAAACTTTAAAGTGCACAGGGATCATGGTGTGAACCTGGTAAAGGCAAGTTCTGACTGAGTAGTTCTAAAGAAAGGCTAGGGATTCCATAATCTAACAAGTCCCCAGTGACGCAGATGCTGCTGATCTGTGAACCAAACCTTGAGAAAAGACACATCAACAGTGTTAGATGAGGAGGAGGAGGAGGATGTGTGGGCAAATAGTTTTGAGGAAATCTGGCTAAGGAAAAGTAAACAGGTTTCATTACTGCAGGACTTCTCAGAGCCTTTAAAACATTAATGAATCTCCTTAATCTCTAACAGGAGATGATACAAAAATTGTAAAGTGTTATACATGACTAAGGGTTATCATTGTAACCAGAAGGCTTTGATACATTGTTCTACAAATTGAGAACAGAAAATCAGGAATGTGTTTTTCCCAGCTTACCTGGGTTCCAATGTCTTAATGTTCCAGCTCATATTCAGCCCCAACCCCAATTCCACCCTCCTCTTTCCCATTTTCTCCTTTGAGACCACACACTTCCTGGCATGCCTGCTCCTCCTCCCTTCGGGTCCCAGCCTGGGCTCTGTGTTCAGGAGGCCCTGACTGAGCGGACACGGGAACCCACGGGAATACCTTTCGCAGACTCGGACAGTCCAGGCAGCGATAATCCACAGGGAGATACTGAACACCAGTAGCACAGTGCCCGGGCAGATGGTCATGAGGGTCTTCATGACGAAGCGGGTGTTGAAGTTGATTTTGTTGAGGGCGCCGATGCTGCGGGACGAGGCATCAGTGAAGAGCTTGCTGTGCAGCAGCATGACGCGGGCGATCAGGTAGAGGCGCAGGAACATGGGGATGGACAGGATGATGTCCACGTCGGCCTCCGCCCGCGACGGTGTGTAGGAGAAGGCCAGGCGCGCCGTCCAGAAGAACTTGTACTCGCCAGGAATGGGGTGGATGGCGCACACCAGCATCTCCAGGCTGATGTAGAGGATGCGCTCGTAGGTCATGGCTATCCTCCAGTCATCCGCGCCATTGTCAATCACGAAGAGCTGGTGGGAGTAGAGCGCCGGTCAGTGTAACCAGGACGGGGGACACCGGGACACCCAGAGAAGACAGGGAGGCTGGGGCAGGCTGCTGGGCTTTGGTCAGCATGATCACCCCAGGGTCTCCCTGCAGTGAAAGCCCTGGATGGGGAGGTGGGAGACCTGGATTCAGGTCCAGCTAAGACACTTTATTCTTTGAGCCTCAATTTCCTCCTCTAGAAAATTCTTTCTGAGCTATCATGATTTATAATAAGAAATAATACTTTAGATCTTCATCCTGGTTTAGGCACACAACTATAAGACCCCAGGAATAGGGATGGCAGTGTAGCTTAACACACTTGCCAAGCATGTGTGGGGCTCTGGGTTCAATCCCCAGCACCATAAAAATAAACATACAAACAAACCCATGAATTTCCAAAGTGGTAAGAGTCTTCTGAATGTCAGTGTGTGGGTGCTGGCTGGGGACTCCTGGGCAGCCTCAGGATGGGAGCTAGTTGCCAGGAGAACCAAATTTCAGCCCCACCCTGCCGCTTTCTGGAAAAGGAGAGAGGCTAGAGGTTGCTTGATCACAAATGATCAGTGATTTAATCAATCATGCCTATGCAATGAACCTTCCATAAAAACCCAAAGGACAGGGTTTGGAGAGCTTCCAGATTGCTGAACACACGGAAGTGCTGGAAGGTGGTCTGCCCAGAGAAGCCAGGGAAGCTCTGTGTCCCCTCCCACATACTGTGCTCTTAGCACTTCTCCCATCTGCCTGTTCATTTGTATCCTTTGTCACATCCTTTATAATAAACAAACAAATGTGTTTCTCTGAGCTGTGTAAACTGCCTCAGCAAATTAATCAAATTTCAAGGGGAGGTTGTAGGAATCCCTGACTTATAGCTGGTTGGTCAGAACCACAAGTGGGGCTTTGGAAGTGGGGGTGGTGTGGGACTGGGCCCTCAACCTGTGATATCAAATGTTAACATCAGGTAAATAAGAGTCCGAGTTAAATTGTAAGACACCAGTCAGTGTCCACTGGAGAATGGCTTGTTGTATGGACAAAAACCCCCAAAATTTAGCGACCAGAAGTGTTCTGTGTTGAGGGAAGACAGCAAAAAGAGGAAAGAGTTGGGGGGCTTCTTCTGCTGTACACTCCTAAGGTCCCTTCCAGCCAGGTCCACAACTGGTTATTTCATGAGAAGAATAGCTCTTTAGTATTAAAAACATATCCCTGAGCCCAGCAGGCTGAGCTGAGCTCTTGGGTGGTAGTGGGATGGGGGTTGCTGAGATGGAAAGAGATGTTTTCTGTGTGAGTGAAATCACAGGACTGCCACAGTCCCCAGTAAGTATCTGCTGCCTGCCCTGTGGTCTTAGCAGTGCGTGTTGTGGTCATAGCTTGGATTCTTGGAGCCAGGCTGCCTGATCCTAACACAAACTAGCCCTGTGATCTTGGGTGAGTTACTGAACCTCTCTGCCTCAGTTATCTTTTCTGGGAATGACATCTGCTGCATACAGGTCCCTGCATACAGGTCCACGCAATGGATCAGTATATGCATCGTATATGGAGAAATGCCTACCACCCAGCACGCACCATTAGCTATTACTGGTTTGGCTATCAGCTATCAGCCATTAACACTAGTTATTATGAGTGATTATTACTGTTAGCATATTAATGGTATCTTGGCCTTTCTATAAAATGAGGGTTGGGCTCAGTTATGTCTAAGCTCCCTTCTGACCCTAACTTTCCACAAAGCGAAGGTTCCTGCTATCACATCATGAGGATGTCACTCAAACAAGCTTTCACTGTGCACCTGTTGTGTGTCTCACCTGGAGTTGGTGCAGGGATTAACATTTGGGGAAGACCCAGCCTTTGCCCTCAAGGATCCTACCTACCATGTTCGAACACTGTGAAAGGGACTTCACATTCTTCCCCTCTGTGGCTCCAGTTCCCACCTCTTTGCATTTGAGAAGCCTTGAAGTGCCTGTCAGCTGTGTTGAGCCTAAGATCTGATCTTGGGAGTGAGGTTGAGACTGGGATGTGGGTTGGGAATAGAGCCTCTTGGGCAGATGTGCACCTCACTCCCAGAAGCATCATGTCCTCTATACTGTGCCCTCGGGCTTGTAGCAGCTCTGGCTGCCCAGCTCACTTCCCCCACCACACACAGTCAGGACCCCAGCCCCACATGCAGACTGCTGCAGGGCCCCAGAGAGCTGCTGCTCTCTGCAGGGCTGCAGGGTTGCCTTTAAGAAGGAGCCAAGGGTGAAGTCCTATGGCCTGAATTGAGCTAGTGCTCTGTGGTGAACTGGAGAAGGACAGGACACTACACAGGCACATGATAGCAGGGGTGTGGCCCAGGAATCCCTCAGTGACCTGTACTGCAAGGCCCCAGGGCAATCAGGCTGGGCTGTAGATAAATTAATGTTGGGGTAGGGGCTAGATAACAGTTTCATCTAACCTGGAAATACAGTGTTTGAACAAAGGGGGTAACAGAGAGATGGGGTTGGAGGGATTGGAGGGCTGGTCAAAGGCCAGGGGTATCATGGATGAGAACTCCTTCACTCTATCCACTCATGGCCTCCTTGAAATCTGGGCCCAACCCTTCTGCTTTGAAGTTAGTCACCAAGCACCCCTGTTCTCCATCCTCCACTGCCTTCCTACAGTGGAAGCTACAGGAGGACCCAGGAGAGAGCCTGTGCTGCCCAGGCGTGGGGCCTCTGAGGGTAAAACAAGAGCCATCAAGGGTTCTCTGTCATGTCTGTAACAAATTCAAGGCAAACACATTGAGTCACATGACATGGGCAATGAAGGATCTCCTTGCCCACTGCAAGGGCAAGTTCCAGGCAACTCAGATGGCCACTGAGAGGCAAGGGTGGCTAGCAGAAATGATGGAGGAGGGGAGGCAGCACTGTGCAGGCAAGTCTCTGACTTTACCAAGCCTCAGTTTCCCCTTCTTCTTGCTCTGTGACTGTACAGGGCCATAACGGGTGAAAGATCATAAACTACAAAAGATCATTCGTTCATTCATTCATTCATCAAACGAACATGTGTGAAAAGCCTCTGTGTGGTGCAGGGGCAGGCATTCAGGATAGAGGAAAAACAGCTGTGACCACAGCCCCCATGATGAGGGTCATGAAAGGGAAGTAGAGTCCTCAATGGGAGCAACTGGCTGAGGGGCCCAACCTCCCCTGGGCTCTAACTAGAGGGAGAGGGACCAGCCCAGAACCAAGGGAGATGCCCCTCCTCCTTTCCCCGGCATCAGAGCCTGGCTTTTCCCAGACACAGTTTCCCAATCTATTAGAAAGACCTACAGCCACTCCAAGGAGTCACTCTGCTTCTGTCACCCAACAGGCCAAACCATGGCAACCTGACTGTCTGGCCAAATTCTTCAAATACAAAATTAAAACCATCCACCCAGTAATAAAGAATCACATCCGGTTACTATAGTAACTGGGTTCACTCTGGGCAGGAATTAAAGCAAGAGTAACAGATTCCTTTGATTGTTGATAAGGAATGGGATCGCACACCATCAGAAGTGAAGGGAGGGGGCCTCAGCTGTTCTTCCTAACTCAACAGGATGGAGCTGGTACCAGGGCAGTGTCCCCACCTGCCTCTCGGATACCCTGACTGTTTCAGTTTCCTGGTGCAGGGCAGATAGGGGCAGCATGGGATGGAGTTGGAGGCTGGTGAGCTAGACAGAAGTCTCCCATACCCAGTTATTAACCATGTGATCTCAAGTTAGTCACAGAACTCCTCGGAGCCTGTTTCCCCATCTCTACCATGGGAATTGACCTTGACCTGCCTACCAAATAGGGCTAGTGTTAGGGTCTAGTAATGCAGATAATAAATGGGAGCAGGCTTTGCTAACTACTCTCAGAGTGTGAGGGATTATGAAGTTTGCTGACCTGGGGGTCACTCACAAACGGTGTGTGTTTTGGGAGGGTTAGAATAGGGGAGCAAGAAGAGATATTTTGAGTTGCAGATTGGAAGCCTCCCCTAGATATAGGACCAGTATAGTTTTGTAGATCTGCAGAATGGGCTATGTCCCAGAAGATCCCAAGGCTGTTCCATATGAGGATATGCTATGCCTTCTACTTTCCCACCCCTGGAATCACAGCTCTCCAAATGTGGACTCTCTCCCTTTGGATTTAGGGCAGATAACAGACCCCGCCCTGCTGTGTCCTTGTTCAGCATCCTGACCATTCCTTGCAAGGCACACATTTCAATTATGTATATATTCTAATTGCCACATTTTTGTCTGCTTTCTACTTAGAACAGTGGTTCTCAAACTGGCTGCATGTTAGAATCATTTGGAGAGCCAACTAAAAAAGTCCCATGCCCTTTTGAAGACCCCATTAAGAATGTCCCCAATAACTGTCCCTTTTGAACTCAGCCTGTGCAACAGAGAAAAAGAAAAGGAAAGGAGAGAGAGAGAGAGAGAGAGAGAAGGAGAGAAGAGGAATGAGGAAGGAAGGAAGGAAGGAAGGAAGGAAGGAAGGAAGGAAGGAAGGAAGGAAGGGAGAGTAAGGAGGAAGAAGGAAAGAGGGAAAGAGAGGAGGAAGAAGGAGAGAGGGAAAAAAGGAGGAGGAAGGGAAGGGAGAGAAAGGAGACAAAGAGAATTCCCACACAGGGGCCCACCCTAGACCAAGTACATCTGAATCTCTGGGGTGGGACCCTGACATCTGGATTATTCTTAAAGCTCCCCAGGCTAACCAGAGTTGGGACTCACCAGTCATAACTGGAGCTCCAAAGGGACAGGGGCTGTGCCTTCCTTTTTTTCTGTGTGACCCTTGGCAGCTAATCTACCCTCTCTTGGGCTTCATTCTCTCCTCTGAGGAATGAAGGCATGGATTAAGGGAGGATGCCTGAGGTACCTCCTGCAGCTATAATTCTGTGGCTCTCTGCAGACCCCCAAGTGGTCACCTTCCACCTTGCATGTGTTCTCAGTGCATGTGCTCTCGGCGACAGGACCTACACCTGACTCATTTCACCTTCAATGCCTGAGATGGTGTCTGGCGTGCTG